CTCCCTAATTAGAAACAGGACCTAAATTAGTTTTAAAAATAGAAGAATTTGGCACAGTGGCAGGACTCAAAATAAATAAGGATAAGACCAAGATAATAACAAAGAACCTTACAAATAAACAGAAAAATGAATTGATGGAAAAGATAGGCATGCAGGTGACCAAAAAAGACAAATATTTGGGAATTTGGTTAACAGCAAGATGTACATCAATCAAAGACGACAACTATACTAAATTAATGCAGCAAATAAAGATAGATTTGGATAAATGGAAAAAACTACAACTCTCATTAATAGGAAGAACAGCTACAATTAAAATGAATATTCTACTGAAAATTCTATTCCTATTCCAAGTAATTCCGCTAAAATTAGGGAAGAACTTCTTTGAAGACTTAAATAGACTAATAACAAAATTTATTTGGTTAGGGGAAAAACCACGAATTAAGCTAAAAATGCTACAGGACAGCAAAAATAAGGGAGGAGATGGGCTACCAGCAGTAGTGGGATTCAATTTTTTTAACAACCGGTTCTGTGGGCGTGGCTTAGATGGGGGTGTGACTTGGTGGTCATGTAACTGGGTGGACATGGCTAGCAGATTATGTGACTGGGTGGGTGTGGCTATGTGCATAGGGACTACTCAGAGGGCTGAAAAAAGTCATTTCTGACTGGTTCTCGCACTTATGACCATCCTCACATTTATGCCTGTTGCGGCATTCTTAACAACCGTGTCAGTCATTTCACCACTACTTCTCTTCACCACGGTGACAAGATAGGGCATAAAACATAAAATGTGAGGACAGTCGTAAGTTCAAGGACTGGTCAAAAGTGCGAGGACTGGTCAAAAATAACTTTTTCAGCCTTCTGACTAGTCCATATGCACATAGGGACTATTCAGAGGGCTGAAAAAAGTCATTTCTGACTGGTCCTCCCACATTTTTGACCGGTCCTCGCACTTATGACCTTCATCACATTTATGCCTGTTGTGGCATTCTTAACAACTGTGTCAGTCATTTCACCACTACTTCTCTTCACCATGGTGACAAGATAGGGCTAAAAACGTAAAATGTGAGGACAGTCATAAGTTCAAGGAGTGGTCAAAAGTGCGAGGACCAGTCAAAAATAACTTTTTCAGCCCTCTGTGTAATCCATATGCACAAAAGGATACAGCAATAGAGAGGGATGAAGGAATGAGAAGATAGATGGAAGAAAGAAGGAGAGAGAGGGAAGGAAGAGAAGGGAGGAAGGAAGGGAAGGGAAATTAGAGTAGGAGTGAGGATAAGAGAGGGAGGAAGAGAGGAGGAGAAGGAGAAAGGAAGAGGAAGTAGGGAGGAGAAGAAGCGGGGGGGAAAGAAAGTAAGAAGGAAAGAAAAGAGAGGGGTGGTAGGTTTGAGGAAAAAGATTGCTGTACAATAAAAAAGATGAAAGGGAAGAAAGGCAACCCAAACAAATATAAAGATATTAAGATAAAGAATGAATTGTTAAACTTTAAAGAATAAAAGACAACAAATATGAATAAATAGCAATAATTAGAAACACACACACAAACATACAATTTATTTTCTTTGAACAGAATATTTGGCCAGTTCACAAATTTAAACAGTGTTTAGTCATTTTAATTAAATTTACAAGTTCTATATTTCCTTTTTGCCATATTTATTCCTTATCTACAGTATTTTTTTTAAAAAACAATATTACCCTTCATCCTCATCTCTAATCTTAATCAAATTCAATTTTTCCCTTCTATTCTATATTATACCCCTTCCCATTGTCATCTATTTTTATATCCATCCTCACATTGGTTAATTATGTAATACTACAGTTGTTTAATATAAATTCAACATTTTAATATAAATCAATTAGTTATATAACTATCTTTTTTGTATATTAATCAATATGAACATGAATATTCCAATTATTTCCATGCAATCCAATTTCTTACAAGTCAATTAATTATATTTACCAATAATAATAAACCAAATAATTTCCCCCATATATTCCTCCAAACCACAACTTTACAATTTCTGCTTTCAACACAATATACAATTAATAGTATCTCAATTATTACAATTCCTTAGTTAAATAGAGCTTTTTTTCTTTTGTGTTTTAAAATCTTGAACTCTCCTCTTTTGCCCTAAATTTCCCATTGTTTGCACCTACCTTTTTTTGTGAGGAAAAAGAAAAGAAATCTGCCTACCTAATTTTCCAACGTTGCAGCAACAGCAAAGCCAACAGCCTGCTTTACTTTCAGTTTCGATTTTCAGCATAGCTAGGGGGAAAAAAAATCTGCTCCAGCACTCTTTGCAAGCAAGCAGCAGAGCCCTGAGCAAAACAGCTGAGAGAAAATCAGCTGAGAGTCGGGAGGCCGATCTAATCAACGGGCTAATTAGCCTATGCTGAAGCTCCGGGGGCCAATAAAATTACAAAAAAATACCGAACCGTTTGTTAAATTGCTGGCTCACCCACCCCTCGCCCACCACTATTTATTGGCAATAAATAGTAGTGTGGAGAGGCGGGGCAAGGGGTGGGGTGAGCCAGCAATTTAACAAACAGTTCGGCCAAACCGCCTAGAACCGGCAGAATCCCACCACTGGCTACCAGACTGGGAGCTGTACTATCAAGCCTCAGCCCTTACATGGTAAAGGAGTGGATAAATTTAAAGAACAAAAGAATTTTTGCAATAGAAGGACATGATTTACAACTGGGATGGCACACATTTATATGGGACAGAAAAAGCAAAACACACAGTTACTTTCAAAGACATCAAACTAGAAATGCTCTGTTATTAATATGGGGAAGAAATCAAACAGAACCACTATAGCAAAATACCAGTCTGGCTATCAACAATGGAAGCATTAATATAGCCGAACGTGTTTGTTAAGGATATTCTTGGCTCATAACCGATGTTGTGGGTTATTGAGCAGAGTACCCTTTGAGTATACGCATGAAAGTGACTGGGAGTGGTTATGAACAATCACAGTTAACATACAAACACACTGAGTTGTGGTAGTCTTTTACTTTTAAGAAAAAGTAAAGCAAAGTCCAAAAACAATCCAAGTCATAGACAGATAGGACGAGAGTTAAAAGATCAATCCAGGGATATTTCAAGTACAAAGTCTTCTTACCAGTTGTAGTCATACACAATAAAACAGTTCTTCTTGAGTTTCAAAACAGGAACAAGTTCAATACAAAAACATTCAATAAATAGTAGAAAGCAACATGTAGCTATGATCAAACAGTGATCATGCAGAGAGATCAGGTAGAGAGTTACAGCAAATAAGCAGGTAAAATGGTGTAGTGTCCACACAAGCCATGATTCAGACTTCCCTTAAGTACATTGGCTACAGAGCTTAGCCCAGTGGTTCTCAATCTGTGGGTTGCGACCCCTTTGGGGGTCGAACGACCCTTTCACAGGGGTCACCTAAGACCATCGGAAAACACATACTTTCAATGGTTTTAGGAATAATTTTATGATTGGGGGTCACCACAACATGAGGAACTGTATTAAAGGGTTGCGGCATTAGGAACGTTGGGAACCACTGGCTTAGCCAATCAGGATACAGGATGATGCAATACAGTCTTAAAGCAATATAATACCTTTTTGACTGCAAACATACATTGTTGGATTATATATTGCCTGACCAATAACAAATAGCCATTTCCTAATAGTGTTGGATCTGGATAAAATTTCAAGATATAAAGATATACTAAATGAACAAGAGAAATTAAAAATGAGACAGGAATTAAAAAATCAGGGAGTTGATTTGGATTGGTGGCATTATATGCAAATACAGATGATGTACAAGAAGGATACAGAAAACTATGGATTTTATAGTGAACCACAAGAATTAAACAGGGTATTACAGGGGACAGATGAAAAACTGATAAAAAAATTAACAACTACTTATTGAGGTTTAAAATGGAAGAAAAAATAGTAAAGGAAACTATGATAATGTGGGCAAAAATTTTGGGTACACTATACTGTAGAACTAGGTAATTGGCAAAAACTGTGAGAGCAAAATTACAGATTGACAATGTCTGCAGCATATAGAGAAAACTTGTATAAAATGTTCTATAGATGGCATCTACCACCAGCAAGATTGGCAAAAATGTTCTCCAATAGGTCACCAGAATGTTGGAAATGTAAACAGACATAGGGAACATACTACCATATGTGGTGAACCTGTTCATCGGCGAAAAAGTATTGGGCAAAGATAAAAAAGTGGCCAGAGGAAATGGTAAAACAACAAATAGACTTAAAGCCAGACCTATTGTTATGTGGCATACTACCAAGGAAATATAATAAAAGAACTCAGTGTTTTATGCTACATGTAATAACCGCGGCTAGAATAATGTATGCACAAAATTGGAAAAATGGAAATATAGCCACAGAGGAAATGGTAATAAAGAAAATATTAGATTGCCCTGAGATGGATAGGTTGACGATGGAAATTAAAGACAAAGGAGAAACAGAATATTATTTAATTTGGGATGTATGATACAATTGGTTAGACAATAGATGCAAAGTTTAGAAAATTAATGATGAAAGATGATCAACGAACCAGAAATAAATAGAAGTATGATAAATAGAAGAATACTTACTGTAAGCAATACAATGGCAAGATGGTACAAAAGTGTAAATTAAAATATTTAGAATGATAAAATATATAGAGATTTATGTAAGAAATATGGAAACAATAGATATAAATACGATATCGTATGTATAAGAGTTAAATGGCCACAACTAGGAGGAATAATTGTATGCATATTGTAAAAAATTGTGGATACAACCAGTATATCACTGTTCCAAACTTGAAATTGTGTTGCAAAAAAAAAAAAAAAGTACAATAAAAATATTTTTTTTTAAAAAAATAAAACTTCCTTCTATTTTAAGAAGTTTGAAAACAAATGAGCCATCCCTCCTTCCCATCCTGGGAGGGAGATAAGCTTAGACACATTTATTTTTAATCTCTGTTCTGTTAAAATGTTTGTCTATTCTTTGTCAGGTCTGAAAAAGAGTCGCCCACTAGTGAAGCCACTCCAAAGACTGAGTGAGTAGTTCAGTCTGTTCTTTAACATAACTGTTTTTCCTCTAAGATACTTCTACATGAGACATTTGTTTAAAACAACATCTAATTTATACTGTGATTATTGCAGTTTCATTGTTATTAAAATTAACAACTTTACACACCCAAAAACCTTTGCATATACAAACTAAATATAAAATGCACTGCCTACAGAATTTTAATATCCTAATTTCTCCTGTACCATAAGTATAAAATCATCACAAAAAAATAAAGGGTCCGTTTTTAGTAGCTGAAATATTTCAGCTTCTAAGAGCATTTTGAGTTAAAAATTCAGATCGGGGGAAGCAGAACTAGGAAGCAGAGACTGCTCCCAGTTCTACCACTCGCTAACCTGGTTGAAAATACAAGGCAAAAATCAGCATTCTTTCCAGAGCTCCCCTCCTCACAAACCCAAATGAAAGTTCCTAGCTGAGTACAGGAAACTCCCAAAATAATTTGCTGCCCAAATTCGAACAGCAGAGAGCACCTCCACACCAATAAATCTTAATTAATTTTTGTGCCCATTAAGAAAGATTTTATGATATCCTCTTACTCTCTTTAGCTGTAAGTTAATTGAGTTAATGATGCTACAAAATTGATTTGCTTGCTGGCACAATGGAGGATTGGAGAAATGCCTTGCATAATGTTTGTGATGCTGGGCATAAAAAAGGATTGACCTCTTCTGCCACAAATTCATTTACCTGCAAAGTATGTTCCAACTTGGCCGGGGCTTGGATAAGAAGGCTTAAATATGAAGTTGACTTTCCCCCAAACCCAACAGAAAAGACCACACGGTGAGATTAAAGACATATTTTTGCAAGTCTAATGGCAGTAGTGTTAAATTGGGCGAGTGAGGAGCCAGGAGCCAGGTCATTAATAACAACAGCTCTTTATTATACAGTGAGAATCCAGCAATTGTGCAGGCTGACAGCTCCCTTTATATAGTATCTTGGCCAGGGTGCTGGCCAATCAACATCGTATTATTTTCCCGCTTAATTTTCCCTCCAAAATTAGATACATAACAAGTAGTATTTGAAAAGAAAGGACTAAAGTGGTAGATCCAGTGCATGGAGGACCCATACAAAAAGCAAGCTTACTTACAAGAGTCTACAGGTATAAGTGCTGTAAGTGAATGCAGTTCTTGGGGGCCCTGTTATACCACTGCTCTATGAACTGTACTGGTTGCTGGTTTGCTTGGGGATGCAGTTCAGAGTATTAGTTATTATCCTTAAAGACCAGGCATAGGTCCAGGGCACTTGAGGAACAGTCTCACCCCATTGAGGCTAGCCCACCCCACCTATGCCAACAGAAGAGGCAAGCGGCAAGCCCCATCAGTCAAGGAAGTTTGGCTGGCAGAGTCCAGGAGAAGAACCACCTCTGCTGTGGCTCCTCCCCATTGGAACATCTTATCTCCTGAGGTGATATCAGCTCCCACCTTTCTGACCTTCCATAAGGACCTGAAGACCTGGCTCTGGCAGATGGCTAGGGGCTCCAACAGGAGAGAATTTAACTGGAGGTGGTTAATGAATTAAGAGACAACCCATCATCTCTCCCACTATACATCCTTTTCTATCCCTCCCATCTTTTATCTTTTAGTTATCTTTTATTTATTAACTTTGTCTTTGATTATAACCATTTTTATTATCTTAGAAATATTTATCTTTTACAGTTTTAATGCTTTCAGCCTCCCAGAGTCGCTTTGAAACAAGACAGGTGGCAATTAAATTGAATAAATAAACAAATCAATGACTAGGCCAAGGGAATGATAAATTATTCAACTGCTGCCAGAGCAATATTAAATTCTGCTTTTAATTTCTTTAACAGCACTTCAGAAACAGAAGAAGGCACTTCAAAGAAAACGTAAGTAGCTACAGTGTACAAATCAGAATTATATCTCTTAAGAATTTCTGAAGTGGTTCAAAATGCATCTTCTGATCCACATTTGTAGGATACTTAATGTGTAAAACATCTCATAACTTGCTTATTTCAGTGTGCAACAATAGAAAGATGTTCTAGTAGGAAATAGGAAAAGGAAGGAGAAAAACTAGAAAAGAGCAGAAGCAACCTTCATATTAAAAGATTGGCAATTTCGGAAAGAGCAGTGGACATTTTTGACCACATCAAGTTTTAAAGCTCATGGCAGAGATTAAGGAACTGAGACAATATTTTTGTTTTCTTGAAGTTAGACCATAGCACTTATTGTCCTCAGTTAAGGACCAGAATGTCAAAACTTTTTCAGTTTTGCTTTTGCATTTGTGTTTTAATTGGATCCTATATTTGCTCTTTTTTTTTTTTTAATTTTTTTTTTTTTTTAATTTGATTTATATGCCGCCCTTCTCCGGAGACTCAGGGCGGCTTACAATGCGTTAAGCAATAGCCTTCATTCTTTTGTATGTTTTATACAAAGTCAGCTTATTGCCCCCACAAACTGGGTCCTCATTTCACCTACCTTAGAAAGGATGGAAGGCTGAGTCAACCTTGAGCCTTGGAGAGATTCGAACCAGCAGAAATTGCAGGCAGCTGTGTTAATTACAGGGTGCACTAAACCCCTGTGCTATCAAGGCTCTTTGAAGAACAGTCAGAAAACTCACAGTAATTTATGGACAAATGGCTCTTTTTAGAAATGGAAATGCTTGATATATTAATAAAGCCCTCTGCTAGAGCATGGCTTAATTAAAATAGCATGAAATCTAAAATAAAACATAAAGCAATAAAACTATTATTCCTCTCTATCTCAAATGGATAAAAATACTGTATGAAGAAGGGATGGAGGCTTTTTTCCCTAGAATTCTTTGTTAGAATTCAGGACATACAAAGTAAAAGAATATTTGGTGGATATGAAAAATTAGATCTAGATCTCCTCAGACAAAATGTAAGTCCTTTTTGAAAAATCTAGCCTAGCAACACTGCAATTTGGCAAAGGAATGTAAGAATTTGCACATGAATACCTGATGTTCCAGATTTTCTTAATATATCCAGTTCAGGGGATCATATTTTCCAATGTATGTTAAAATATATAATGATATTTTCATATTAGCTTGGCTTAATAGAATCTGGAAATGGAGAAATCGGTTGCTGCTTTCTAGCAAAGAATCTTGCAACAGATTTAGCAGAAGCAATGGCACTTCGATTTCTATACCATCCTACAGTGCTTTACAGCACTCTCTAAGATGTCTATAGTGTCAGAATAACACCCCCCAACAATATTGTTGGGGCAAACTGACCTTGGAAGGATGGAAGGATGAGTCAACCTTGAGCCGGTCAGGATGTAACTCCTGGCTGTGGGCAGAGTTAGCCTGCAATACTGCATCCTACTGATTAGCTGTACTACTCAGGAGAGAAAGTACTGCAAGGTGCGAAATGAGGCTGAGTTGGCAAACTAAAAAAAAAGATGTCAGGGCTGTTAAAAAAGGGTAGGAAGTGAAAAACAAATAAACAAAAAAAACTCAAAGGACTCGTTAAAATATCTCAGTATGTAATATAGTATTATGTTCTGCCTGCTACAATTCTGGGTTTGACACAAAAATACATATCCTGACCTTTATAATCAATTCACGGATAAACACCTGGGAATATAATGTGTTTTACTCCTAAGTAAATTTACAATTGGATGCCAGAAAAAGAATCCTTCCAAACACAGGTTTATTAGGAATAAACAGTACTCTGTTTATTAGTTGCATCCAACTAAATAAAATTAGTTGCATTTTATTCTTCCTACCTATTGAGATAACTTTTATTTAGACAGATATTTGTTTGCTAGGACATAGAAATAGTCATGCATTTCATTTATTTATTATTTATTAAACAAATGTTTACAGCCACCCAACTCACATATAGATAATTCCAGGTGGCTTACAACATTTATTAAAGTTATAAACAATCAATTTTATTCAAGTTTGTCAAGATAGAGAAGTTGGAGCATGGTAGTTTTTTTCCCCAGTCTTGTTGGAAGGCCAGTGTGAGGCTTCTGGAATCTTGTTTTATGCTCACTTTAGGGCACTGATGGTGAACCTTTTCGGCACCAAGTGCCCAAACCAGAACGTGTGCACGTATGTGCACACCAGAGCACTGGAAACCCAAAGACCAGCTGGCTGGCACGCACATATGCATGCGCATGCGCACCGGCCAGCTGGTCTCTGGGTTTCTGGGACTCCGTGCGCACAAAGAACAGCTGGCCAGCATGTATGCATGTGCCAGAAACCAAAAGAGCAGCTGGCAACAGCGCACATCCCCACAGAGAGGGCTCTCTGGCACGCATGCCATAGGTTCGCCATCACAGCTTTAGGGTTTAACTTATCCCTTATCCTATCCCTATCATAGATAGAAAATAATGCTGCCAGACTAAAAGTAGCTGTTGTGAGAAGATACTATGGGTGGTTATTGAGCCCTCTTCTCTTAGAGAGGTGGGCTACCAGAGTGTTGTTGAAATTGCTTCTCATCCTGCGTTCTGTGTTAGAATCCTCTTAGAACAGCTCCTAGAATTGTTAATATCTAGTCAGGATCTAAATTGTCCTCTTGGCAACCATATTTCAACTGGGTTCACTTGAGATACTAGGTCAAAATGTGGTTGGCTAGTTTATGGTGCCATGTGTTGTGCCCACCCAGGAAACTGGGCTAATTCAGTAAATGAGTTCACTTCCCATGAGGCTGTGTGTTGTACAAACAAAGCTCTTACAAGATAAGCACCAATAGGAAAAACTGGTAGGAAAAGCAAACCGTGACAACACTGCTGATTCTCTGCTTCTTAACACCAACATGTCCATTCTATTTTCTAGAATATGTAGCTTTATAAACACATTGTAATATCATCTTTTATTCCTTTTATATCTACAGAAGTTCAGAAGAGGAAGACGAAGAGGAAGATGAATACTAACCATACTTTGCATATAAATTGGATATAAGTTGTACATTAATTAAAGCACAATTTTTAATTAAATATGTTATTTGACTTGTACCTTTTTTATTGTTATCCTTATCCTGAGGCTTAAAAATGTTTCAGAATAGCCATTCCCCCATCTGGAGCAACTGCAATTGTGTTGGGCTAAGGTACTTATTACTCATGGTCCCAGTGACTACCAATGATAAAATCTATAGGTTTCCTGGTGCCAGAATGATGTTTTACAAATGTATAGAAAATTCACATGACATTTGTGTAGCAGCAGGATTACCCTCATATGTATGCATTCATTTATTTATTGGATCTCTGTAAAATCTTCAATAATATGTTTAGATTCCCAAATGTGGAATACAGTATCAGGTCTTTTTATATCTAACTAAAATTATGACTATAAACTGTAACATAAAAAAAGTAGCAGGAAGTGAAATAAGACTCACAGTGTGACTAAGATTTCACATTTGCAGTTCAAAATAAAAATGTAACATATTAAAAAAGACTGGGGAATAAAACAATACTCATTTGATAGCAAAATAACAAAATTAGCTATATATTCTCTTTTTTCAGTGAAAACATTCTATTTTCCTCACTTCACATGTCAGGATCATCTGAAATCTTTGATAAAGCTTTTGTAGTAAGATCTGTCATATGTAAATGACTAACCCTGTGATTGATTGATATATATATAGAGAGAGAATGTAAATATTAATTCCCTTTTCCAATAACCATCCCCTCATAACTCCTCCTTACCTTAACTCCGCCTCCTTAGTATAAAAGCCCCATCCTGCTCCTTCACCTTGCTCTATCTCTCCTGTCATGATACCTGTTAAGAAGAAAAATAGAAACCATAAATATATTTATTAGAAAAGAAATGACTTCCATGAGTTATTGGGCTTGATCCTTGAACCTACGTAACAAGATCATTTCCCATCTCCCCTTCATTCCCCTCCCCAATCCCAGAAAATTATCTGAAGTCAGGAAAAGAAACACAGAAACTACAGTTGATCTTCTTAACTATAGCACTTATTTGCTGCTTTATTATTCCAGTGCTTCCTTGATCTTCTTTGTTTCTAAGTGATATTTCTTGATTAGGTATTCTTTCCTTCTTGTTCTTCAGCTACTTTTCTTTCATCTGGGGAGCTGAGTTTCAAGTAGAAACTCAGCCATGTGATCCTGTTCATCAATAAACCTTCTTTCCAAGCAACTTCCATGAATCCAATGTCTTTTTCCCCGCTTGGAGCTGAACTCAGAAGAATATTTCTTCCAACATTTGCTTGCATCCGATCTCAACTTGCTGGTCTTATTTTCCAATGTAATCTTCCATTTTTGGGCTGCACTGTTGTTGTTGTTTTTCTTCTTTGTTGATTTTGCATCCCAGGTATTCAGTTATAACTGCAGCTGTGCAGCAGAGAGGGTGCCTGGTTTCCAAATGAAAATAATTCTGTATCTCTGCTAGAGTCCTCTACTGACAACCCATCTCCTCCCCCCCATCACCCCATCCCCACCCCTGGTTTGCCTCTAAATTCTGAGTTACTTTTGGCAAGGCTCTGATTTCTTTGCCCTGGATAAACGTTTGCAATTTTGCTTCTATGTATGAATGTTCTGACCTCACTACATTACTTTGTGTGCAGCTTGGCCTGCAGCTAAACTCACCCATCCTCCAATAAAATAGACCATGTGCATAGATCTGGATGCTTTAAAATAGTGGTTGCCAACTGGTGGTCCGTCGACCACTGGTGCTCTGTGAGAAAATGTTGGTGGTCTGCAGAAAAATCTGGACTATTTGCATTTTTTATGCTTTATTGCTGTGTTTCTCCGGGACTTATTTTCTTTTAGGCTTGAAAATAAGCAACCCTCTGGAGCATCTTAGAACTGTATAAAAATCCATCCATTCATCCAGGGAAGGACTCAGAACTACATGCTGTTGTTGGTTCTGCTCATTAATAAACCTTTCTTAAGCATCCACTATAAGGATGTGGTGGCTCAGTGGCTAAGATGCCAAACTTGTCGATCAAAACGTTGGCAGTTCAGGGGTTCAAATCCCTAGTGTCGCGTGACAGGGTGAGCTCCCATTACTTGTCCCAGCTTCTGCCAACCTAGCAGTTCAAAAGCAGGTAAAAAATGCAAGTAGAAAAATAGGGACCACCTTTGGTGGGAAGGTAACAGCATTCCGTGCACCTTTACCATTTAGTCATGCCGGTCACATGACCACGGAGACATCTTCGGGCAGTTTAGTAGAGTGATGGCATGAGGGCAAAAATTGTCTTTGTGTCTAGTTGTTTTAGCATACAGTGCCCTATAGCAGCATCTTGAGGGGAAAAGTTGAAACAGTTTATGTCCAGGATGTGAGGAGTCTGGAGATATGTTCTCAATCCTCTTTCTGACCCGTGCAGTATAGAGGTCTTCAATGAAAGGCAGACAGTTGTAATTGTTTCTTCTGCAGCCCTAAATATTAGTTCTAGTCTAAAATGAAGGAAAATTACATTTATAAATAGGTTTAGAGATACCTTGTTTTGAGCAGAATTGCTGTTCTGACAGGAAGTTTCTGATCCTATGTAAAATGAGGTCAATGCCTTTATATTCTTTATCATTTAAGACAAAGTTCCCCAACCTTTTTGGCTTTGCATACCAGTGGGAGGGAGCAACACTGGAAGTTTTTTTAAAAAATAATTTTTATTAAACAAACATTAAAAACATTGGGCATAGCGTGACCATCCCGGTCTTATCATGTCTATACATATTTTTAACATAACAAAACATAAATAATTACTATTTAACATACATTACAATTTTGTTCTTATATACATATTGTCCTTGTCCTCATTTACATATTTGTCTAAATATTATCCAGTATCCATTTTAAAAATCCAAATTCTTTTTTGTTCCAACTCCTTTTCTCCTTTCCAACCATTGGTACACTTCGTTCCAAATTCTATAGTATTTCTGTCTCGTCCTTATTTTGAGTTCTAGTGTCAGCTTGTCCATTTCTGCACAAGTCAAGATTTTCTTTATTATTTCTTCTTCCGGGGGAGTTTCTTCCTTTTTTCAGTATTGTGCATAAACCAGCATAAACATGGAAGTTGATAAAGTATATTTGTTCACAAAGTACTTAGAGACTACCCAAAAATCAAAGAAATTGGGACCTAAGTATGTATACTTGGTATGTATGTATATTTCATCAATCCAATACGAACCAAATTGAACTTACCAAAATATCCGAACAACTTGGAATTGAAATTATAAAGATTGGTAGAGTTTTAGGACCAAGATGCGCTGCCCATAGTTTAAGGTCAACCCTAGCTGTGTGGTTGATTATCCAGAGCTATGTCACTATTTTCATTCAAATGAAAAGTACTTAGGTATGGCAGCCCGTCTTGCAAATATATATTTTATAACTGATTTGGCATTGATTATTGATATTTTAAACAATTTTCTTCTTCTTTCAAATGCACTGCAAGCATGAAATGTAGACATAATAAAGGCAGAAAAACTTGTAATAAGATCTGTCAAAGCATTTCAAATGCTTGGAAAGTAAAAGGGTTCGTATGGAAAAAAAAGTTGACGAATTAATTATTTCAGAAACCTTCAAAAATATAAAATTTGTACAAAATCATCGATTTGTTGGGCTTCCTCAGGAAAGACTTTTAGAAAACATCATAACAAATTTGAATAAAAGGCTAATGGATTGTGAACATTTAAAAACAAGTTGTAGCCAATTTCAAGACAGGAATAAATTACAATTTCTCAATTTTTTGGAGCCAGAATACTGGAATATTGAATATTGAAAAAGTAGTAGTTCCATGTAAAGCAGCTGAAGAACAATTGCTTGAATTTAATAACATTTTTAATTACCAAATTGATATTAATGTTTATCGAGATAAATGTTTTTTAAAATTCCCAGAAATATGCAATTCCTGAAAGTGTTCAAAATATTATCAGAACAATTGCTGTAATTTCAGCAGAAGCAGAAAGGGGTTTTTCAAAGATGAACATAATATGTTCAGAAAAGAGAAGTTGCCTTTACAATATTTTGTTGTATTTTTTCAATCTTGTCGTCCATTTTTTAAATGTTGTCATTTATTTCTCCTACATCTAATTTCAATTCTTCGTGGTTCCTTCTTGTTTCCTCGTGATTGTTCACTATCGTTTCTTGCATCTTATTCATCCCCTCCTGGATCATGGCTAAGACCGATTGGATGTTTTGTATATTGAATGTAGTGGAGGCTTTTTCTTTATCTGAAGATAGCATTGTGTCAATTGTTTTTTGTTGTGCTGGTGAGGATATTGTGGCTGTCTGATTTGATATTAATTTTTTCCCTGTCTTGGTTATTGTTGATGGGGCTGTTGTTGTCATCTTTATTTTTCGCTTTACAATTTCCCAAATTCTCATACACTGTATTGAATGAGGGAAGGAGTCTGTATATGAAATGTCTTGTCTGTTTTCTTACTTTTTTGTTCTGTAGTGACTAGTTTGTGTATCTCTGATAATTTCACTTGAAAATATCGTTATATAAGGGTTAGGTAAATCAGTTGAGGAGTAGGGGGAAAGTACAATAGTTCAGCAATTCATTACTCTATTCTTATCCCTATTCAGTATAATATTTATATATCAGATGATAAGATTAATAAATCACACTTTTTATTCTAAACAATTAATTATCAATGATTTTTGTATGCAATCTAGAACCTTCAATTAGCTTATTTTACAATTATTTAATTTTGCTATAAAAATTATGTCTAAACAATATCTATATAAGTATATATAATTTTAATCTAAACAGTTTCAATTAATCAATATGTTTCTATAGAAATTATCCAATTACTTCCAGAAAAGGGGAGAAAGTAGAAAAAGATAATATTAAACCATCTAATTAGTATGTACTATAATAGCTCTAATTGTTAAGCAATATCAATACCTAGATCTAAAGTTTATAGTTAACTATCTGAACAGATATGACACTTGTTACTATTATTTTATCAATCGTTCAATATCTAGAATTATTTATGAGTATATATAATTTACAATATTTCTTATTATTGTT